AGAGAGAAAAGATGCGAAACTTGTCTTCCAATCATTATCATGCTGGTTCTAATTGGACAAGGCTGTTAAAAGAAATATTGACTATGTATGGAGACTTAAGCGTTGACAGGTAAAAGACAACTGGTACCATTAACAAATGGAAAGATATACATATTGGACAAGTTCCTTAAAAAGAAAAGTTATGGACTTCTTTCCTCCTACATAAGGTTAGGTCAAAGATGGATGGGTGAGGAAGAAGGGAGAGTGTACGCTTTCCCTCTAACAGTTCAAGACTGGTGGGACGAAATTCCTCCCATCCCCGCAAACTCATAGTGGAAATGACAATAAATAAATAAAAACTCCTTATATAAAACTATCCTAAGAGAGGCAAATTATTGCTTCCCATTCCTCCCCTATAAGAAAATAGTTTCAAACCCTGCTCCACCTATATCCATGAGATGGATGGAGTAAAGAAAGTTTCTTCTGGAGAGGAAGAAACACAAACTATCTGAAGTCTAGTATCCAACATTTCTAGTCCCAAACATAGAGGTTGGATGTGAAAAAGGTCAAGTTTGGTATCCTAAATTTTTACTAAATACACCTTTATGTTCAGAGCACAGTACTACATCAAGCAACCATACTTGGCTATATCAGTTGTCGCGTATCTAAAATTGGCATGAGTTTTAAACTTTTTAGTTTTTAGCAGATACGATAGGCACATAACCTTTGGCATCAAATGTTGAAACTGCTTAGACAGGTAAATCAGAAAACCAAATATTGCACATACGAATGAATATAAAACGAATTAAAAGTGTTACAGAAATGAAACTTTACTTACCAATACTTGATTAAGCCATCCCAGCCACATGTTGCAACTTTACTTTGCTCCAAGGGATGCCATGCTGCCCCAATGCATACCCCTTCGTGACATTTGAGAGTTCTGAAGACTTTGCATGTCTTCCAATCCCAAAACCAGCATCTACCTTCACCATCACCCGACATAACAAACCGTCCGTCTGGCGAGAAATTGACTTGGCAAGCATACCCGGCGACAACATGCCCGGCAAACCTCTTCTTCTTATTGAGCTGAAACTTCTCCCTAGTGCTATAAATCAGAATCTGATTGTCCATACTCTGTGCCGCAAGCCAATTGGAATTGGGGTGCAGCGAAATTGATGGCATGGAATGCATGTGAGGCTCACTAATATACTTAATAACCACAGGGATCCCAAACTCCCATACGCGAAGCGACTTGTCATCGCTGGAAGTAACAAACCTACGGTTATTATCCACAAAAGTAATTGTATTCACAGCACCCAAATGCTGATCATACTCTTGATTGATCTTTCCCTCATTCATATCCCACTGAACAATCTTCTTATCACTCATACCAGCCAACAACACATTTTGCTTATCCTCATCCGGGTTCAACTTAACCACATAAGGAACCTTCCCAGTCGAGAATGTAGATATCACCTGCCCGGTTTCTGTATCCCAGTACTTGATATTCTTATCATAACTAGCAGTTAAGAACCTACTCCCATCATTAGAAAAACAAATATCCCGAACTGCCTTCGAGTGACCCATGTAAGTTCTCATACACTTACCGGTATTGAAAACATCCCAAATCTTCACCTTGGTATCCATCCCGGCAGACAGAATCAAATGCCCGTACTTAGGGAAGAACCTAATAGCAGACACACCCTTCGTGTGCCCGCTCCAAGTGTGCACCAACCTCTTCGGAATATAACAGTGATCATTAGATGCCTTAGCATCTCTCGGCGGCGCAATCCATGACCTACCCTGATAATCCCTCTCTTCTTTTCCATGAAACGTAGTCTTCTCAGCCACAGCCTCGCCCTTATCACCAGCGCCTTTCTCCTCACCTTTCTTCTTCGCATACTCCTCGGCATACTTCTTCTGCTCCTCAGTCAGCTCCGTCGGCAGACCCTCCTTCTTTCCCGCCCACGGACTCTTCTTATTCTTCATCAACCACACGTCACTAGCCGGGTTCTGGACCTCCTCCGGGTCCATATCCTCATCCCCACCCTCATTCTCCTCCAATTCCTTTCTCTTTTCAATCTTCCGCTTCTTCTGCTCGTGCTGGGGAATGTTATACACAGAAACGGCGTCATTCTTGTGTAAGGCCTCGAAATCACCTACATAATTGTACCCAGCAGATGCCGAAGGGTCAGCAGCATACCCGTACTTGTGAAAAGTGTTGTACTGCTCGTCGAACACGAAGGGCTCAATGGAGGCGTCCTCGACGAAGCCGAGCTTGTGGTTGCGCATCCCCTGGGCTATGCCGTCCTTGGCGTAAGGGTGAGACGGGCCGTAGATTGGTGCCCATAGCTGCTCGTAGGTTGGGTTGAAGCCGACGATGTGTTGGGTCGGGTCGATGCGGCGGGTGGAAGACCGGTTGGCCCCGGCTACCGTCAGGGCCAGCATAGTGTCGTCGACATTGGGCGCGGCGGACTTGGTGGGGAGGAGGCGAGGCGGCGACGCGTCTGGGGACGATGGTGCGGATTTAGGGTTTTGGTTCTGCTCCTCAGGCCCGTTCAATTCGTCGTCGTTTTGATCAGAGTATGCTCGGAGAAGATCCATTCATAGAAACAAAGACGACCCCCCTAAGACCATCTCCAACCCTTGGGCTAAAAGCCAAATTTTTTAGCCCGGAAAATTTAGCTTTTAGCCCATAAACATCTTTTCTGCTCCAACCCTTCTACCCTAAAATTTTAGCCCGGAATTATTAAAGAATGAAATTAGCCTAAATTTTTTTCTTAAATCAATTGTTTTAAAAAAAATAAATATGTAGATTATTGTAAATTAATTTTATGAACATTTTAATCTAAAAAAATTTAAATTCCGATAAACATTTCGCATTTAGCCCGGGGGGAAAGCTGGGGGGTATTTGGCCCAGAAATAGCATTTGGCATTTAGCCTAAAATTTTAGCATGGGTTGGAGAGTGTTTGGGGGGGTAATTTGGGGGGTAATTTGGCTTTTAGCCCAGGGTTGGAGATGGTCTAAGCCCTAAATTTGGTCCCTGTGTTGAAAATTTGAGATAAAAAATAAGATTGGGATCGAGAAGGTTACTCACCGGCGGCGGCTTGGAGAAGGCAAAGGGCGGAGGCTGGGCGGGCACAGGAGGATTCTTGGCGGGGTTCAGGTTTTGGAAAAATTCGGGGTTTTCGATAAACCGTAAAACGCTTCCAAATGCCAGTCACGCGTGACTTTCTGGCATCTGCAATAATTTGAATCATTTTTGTACAATTTTTTTATTTTTCTTACTACTATAACAAATTATTATATTTATATTCTTTAAAATATATGTTTTGTGAAAAATTTATTATAATTCGTATTTAAACACTTGTAATCAACAGTTTAAAATCTAAATTTAAAGATATTTGATTTTTTTGTTAATTTTTTTTATCTAAATCTAAACTACTTATTAATATAACTCTATTTGTCAACCATAAGAGAGTGAAAGACTATTTAACAAAAAAAGAATTTACTAATTTTTGTTTAAACCTCACTTACAGATGATTTTAACATCTCTAATTTGAAAAAGAAAAATTAAAAAATATACACTAAATATATATTTAACTTTATATTGTTCATTTATTTTTATACTTTTTTACTTAAATATTCTATTAAATATACATTTGTTGCTTAATAAATCGTAGATCCGTTTTCAAATACATTATAAAGATTTCCTTAGTGCTCACTATAAAATATTTTTTAGATAAAATAAAAATTTTCATTTTTTACAAAAAACGTGGATCACGATTTTTAGTTGGTTTTACAAATTCTTACATAAATCACCGTTCAATCTTTATTTTCACTTTTGCCTCACTATGAAGTTTCGAAAATTAAGATAAGACTTTCCGTTAAGATTCTTGAGTGTAGAACCCCATTTGACAATGTTCTGGGCCTCACAACTCTGTTTTTCACTTATTTTTTTAGTTTTCGGCTCAAATATTCAACTAAATATACATATGTTACTCAATAAATTATAAAATTGCTTCCAAATTCCTTAAAAAGTTTAACTTAATGCTCAAGAAAAATATCTAGCGAAAATAAAAAAAAATATCTGCATTTTTGTCAAAAAAAACATGAGTGTTAGGTGGGCTTGATGCACGCAACACGAGGCGGACTTAGCTCGCAGAACAAGGTGAAACGTGGTGCGCCAAACAAGGCGGGCTCTGCTAAAAAGAAAACGATGCGTGCTTCTGGCACGCAAAAGAAAGCAAGCTTTGTGCACATAAAACGAGGAGGGATGCATCACACATATCGAGGTCAGCCATGCGCATGTAAAACAATGATGACTTTGTGTATGTTAAAACAATGCGAGCTCCGTTGACGCAACAGGGGGTGGGTTTCTGGCACGCTAAATGATGCAGACACCTTACATGCAAATCGACGTGAACCAGGCACATAAGACGAGGTGGGCTTCGCACACGCATAACAAGGCAAACTCCCATATGCTCATAATATGAGTCGGGCCCCACAGCTAGAAAAATATATTTTGAAGAACAAGAATATGATATTTTGTTGTAGTGGTAAGAGAAATAAAAGAAAACTTATTTTTCTTACCACTACAACAAACTATCATAATCATGTTCTTCAACATATATTTTTCCATGCAAAATCTAATATAATTCGCATTTAAATACTTATAATCAACAATTTAAAACCTTAGTTTAAAGATATTTGAACTTCATTTTTTTTGTTAATTTTTCTTTTATTTAATTCTAAACTACATATTAATAAAACTATTTTGTCAACCAAAAGAGGGTGAAAGACTTTTTTTTTTTTTAAGTCGGGTTTGTAACAGAATGCAAAAATGATTTGTGATTCAAACGCTTTTTTTGTTTTTATGATGATCTTCAAATGAATATTAAATAATTGAACGATCTAAATAAAACTACGTTATTCTTAAGAAGCGGGATACATGCATTGTCCAAATGCGGAGATGCACACGTTGTTCACGTTTATTCTTACTGGGATGACCTTAACGTTGGATGCCAAATTGACTAGGGAATAGGATTCCCTCCACAACTTTATTCACGTGTATTCTTCCACAAGTAAAATACACTACACCCTCTACTAACCACCTGTGTACATGCTAGTAAACATATGGAAATAAGAGATTCAATTCAACAAATAATGGTACTGCTAATACAAACAACACTTCAAGGATTCTTCACTTTGATCCTCAACTTTCGAGCCAACTGCGCTGCTTTCGGATGCACAGGCCGCTTGCTGCTGTCACACTGTTCTACTTCCACCCAATTGATCAATCTAAGAATGAGAGATTGAGGCACTTTTCGGATATCTTTATCCGTTGTCGTGCCTTTTGATTTCTTCATCCCCGTCTCCAATGCCTTCTCTATGAACTCCATAAACCAGTTCCCAGCTTCTGTTTCTATCTGCTCACTCAACCTGATTGTGTTGCTTAAGCTGCTTAAACTAGCAGAAGCCGGTTTCTTGTTTTCGTCGTTCTCACCAATGGTTTCAAGGCTCAGCTTTCCAAGCGGAGTGGATGGTGCTTTCGGCTTTTGATGTGTAGAGCTTCTCAGGAGCTTCTCAAACGTTGTCGTTTTCTGCTCGCTTCTTTCAGGAACGGCTGCAACCGATTTGTACAAAGCGCACCTTCTTTTCGATAGGTTCAATTTTGAGTTCACGGAGTTTTGAACAATTTCGTGCAAGACGGAATGGTCTTCATCATCTTGATCTTTATCTTTCTGCTGCTTAACTTTTGGAGTAGTCTGAGTCATTTCAGAAGCTGAAGTAGCTGCTTGAATCGATACCATATCATTAACTGATTGGACGATTTGGTGATGGAATTCGAGGAATTTATCAAAGCAGGCTGATGGGGCATCCGCTTTAGCTGTTCTGCTTAAGTTTGAGAACATCCTGCAAAAGCAAGCATTGGTATCTTAGCAAACAAATATCTCAAAGTTAAATTTTAAACTACCATAAGAAAAAGGAGGGTATTCGCTTTACTTGAGAGATCGAACAAGGGTATCGGTTGCTGAAGCCTCTCTGAGTGCATTAAGGGCAATCTTCTGAGCAGTCTCTCTATGCTGCACAGCTTCCTGCATAAACATAATCTCATCTCAAAACCCGAAAAAATTTGGTTTCGGTCATAAACTAGAAGGAACACTTGGAGATGAAAGTGCTTACTTTGCCGAGCAAGCTGAGCCTTCCTGGTAAATTCATGGGGAGGCAGAGGCTAGTGCTGTTTTCGTTGCACAAGTTACCAGGCTGAGGCTGCTGCTGAGAGTTCGTGTTCATGTCCTTCGAGTTGGAGGATTTCTGTGCAGCATCTCCAGCCACACTGAGCGAAGTTCCCACTCTTGCATTTCGCGGTGGTGGAGTTGAGGTCTTCTTTTTTTCCTACAATAAAACAAGAATTCACATTCTCAGCCCACCAAATCCAACATACTTGAACAAACAAAATCCAACAGTCTTCAACAAAAAAAATCAAACATTCTTCAACAAACAAAAATTCTAATTAGTAGAAAAATCAATTGGTGCAGCTCAGACAATACTACTAAAGAGGAGCAATGTACCTACAGCTGAGTTGAAGGGACTAATTGGGATCCTTGGCTCTTGATCAGACACACTTCTACTCCTAGGAAATTTCGACATAGACGGCATGACACAGCTTTTTCGCAATGCAGGGCTTTCGCCTCCCTTCGAATCCGCCATCTTAGCCAAAAGTCCACCACCAAACGAAGACCGAACGCCTGAATTCAACCCTCCATCTCTTCCCACTCTCCCCCTAATCATCGGAGACATCGACCCGTTTCTTCCACCACGCTCTTTAACCGGAGTGCACTGGTCGAAATCCAAAGGAACCGGCTTTAACACCATGGGAGACGAAACCCCATCAGCTCCATTAAGCCCTGTTCCCCAAGACCCCCTTCTAGTAGGCTTTGAATTCGACATTTGCTCGATCCTCTCTCCCTTCTCCCTCAGCCCCATTAGAGGTTCCGGTGTACCCATCAGAGGATGCCGGCCAGGGAGCGGTTTGGCTCCCTTCACCACCGGCACTGGCGACCCGGGCTCCAATCTGTCGACATATATAAACTGTCCCAGCTGCATTTTGTTACTGAGAACATAGTCGTTGTGTTCGGCGGGGAGGCTGACGTAGATTGAGTGGGAAGAATCGGAGACTTTTATGTAGAAGCCCTGTGTGGGCCAAAGACTCTTCTCGTCAAGGTCCGCCGGCACGATATCAGTGACCTGCAGAAGCGCGCTCCGGTGCTCGCCGGTGGGCTTGACCCCTGTGTTCATTCCGTCCATGAGCTTCAGTAGAATTCCCGGTGCCAAAGCTGCCATTTTCGCCTTTTCGAGGTTGGAGAATGGGGAGGATGACGATCGTGGTCGGAAATTGAAAACCCAGGTGGCGATTTTCGATTTTGTGGAGTTGAAGATAGTTCTTAGTACTCAAGGGTTTGAGGGTAAGAAGTAGGTGACGTTTAAGTTGACCGTTAGCAACGGGAGCTATGTGTGCCAAAAGGTTACTTTTTTAAAATTCAGAAAGTTTCGAACGTTGAGGCAACGGTCAGATTTTGCTGGTGCGTCACGTAATGTTTTTGAATTATCGGTGAAAAAAAGTCGATCAATAAATGATAAAATTATATTTGACACCGCCAAAAATGAATAATATCACGACTTTCTCCTTTCATTAAATTTAAATTTACCTAGATCCAAAAAAGGGGTGGGGGAAAGTTGTTTATTTATTAATTTGGTTTTTGTTTGGATTTGATTTGAATTTTTATAGGGGCATAAAATGTGTCTAAAAATGTTTGAGAAGAGGAGATATTTGGTAAAGTTGTCCGACTAGTGCAATTCTCACATTGAATGCCTTCGGACGAGACCCAACTACATAAGAGATCTCATACTTTTGTAAAAAATTTCTTACAATTGATTTTCTACAAATTTTTTTTAAAGAACCTCAGCAGTACGAGAAAATTTTGTGGATATGAAAAATATAAGTTACACCTATACTACCCAGTTGGGGAGAAATTTTCAGCATGCCAAGAACACAACCCATTATTATAATATCAGTGGTTGAAATTGTTTTTCAAATATCCAACCACTTGTGTTACGATACTTTGTGCACTAGACCGTGTTTTTGTCACATTGTAAATTTAATACTACAAAGTTTGCAATATTTTCCCACTAAAAAAAAAGGAAAACTAAAATCTAACAATGAAATGGCTATCAAACGAACTCTAAGGAAATCGACCATGTCGGAAAGTTCAAAGATTTTGTTTGTCATGATACAATAATGTATTGCAGACTTTATTGCCAATAAAACCAATAAGCATAACAGCCGATTTACCAATTGTTTCAAAAACAACAGTAAGCTAGTCGCAGAGTTGTAACAGGCTATTCCCGATCTCTTGTCTTCAAAATTTCGAACGAGGACATGCAGAATGTCAGGTCATCGTAACTACAGTCTGAAAAACATTGAGAAAGAATGAAACGATAATCTACTTTTCAAGGTTACATTAAAGTTCAATTGCAAACAGAAACCTGTAAAGAAACAAACTCCGCGATCCCGTGTGTACCTAGAAACAGCTCAGGCCATGCTATAGTGGAGTAGCGAAACCTGCGATTGATGAAAATATACAAGGTGAGAAAATGAAGGGAACCTAGAGGACATAGAATCATGATCCGTCAGATCTGATAAGCAAGCCTCAGTGAGATAGTATTATTTGACATGGTTACAGACAACACTCTCTGAAAGCAAACACCCATCAGTAAAGAAACCATTATCAACGGGAAATACGGGAAAGTGACCAGAGTTACCAAATTAAAAGATGAGTGGCCATATTAACAGAACCCTTAATTAACTTGGTACGTATTATAAATTAACAAAAGCATCGAAGTACACCTTTTTTTCACCCACCCTTGTATTTTCTTGTTTTTTCATACTTTCTGGTTGTGTGCTCAATCAATCACATAAAGATTCATCGATAAGTACAGGTAAAACCAACCCCCATCATCCAGATGAGGAAGTAGATTTCGAGCATCTAATATAAGGATGTCTAGGAAACTAAATGGATGACATTCAAAAAACCACGAGAGCAGCAAAATGATGTATATTAAACAACTGGAATGTCATTCTACCTATACATAATAGAACAAATTCCGGAGTCAAGATATTTGTCTCCCTACCTTCCCTGTGTCACAAGAATATGTATGACGAATACTAAGAACAATGCATTCTTAGCTACTTATTTTGCTCCAGCAATTTTTAACATAATACATGCTGCTGAGCTCGATGCTCTAGAGCATTATTTTCCCTCTCCTAGGGAAGATTTACAGAGATCTAAAAAATCTGACTCACCATGCAACTTAGCCATCTGTATCGAATATAAGAAATGCTATAACTTAAGTTACTATATTGATGCTCTGGTTAACGTTCCCATGGAAAAATAAACAGCAGAGTAAACAATGAGGTCATATTTAGTAGTTTTGCAGCAAAATTGATTGGCAGACATTGCGATCAGCGAGAAGAGATCTTGCTAAAGCACAACTCCACCCGACCAATATTAAAAGGCATGATGAAACTTATAATTTGCAAGCACAATGCAACCCCTTAAAACTAGGTGCAGCATCAAACATCAATAACACGCAGGTCCATCTCAACTCACTTGAAAGACAGGTAATAAGACAAATTTCATAACTCACACCCTCTTCTGCAGTAAAAATACATTTCCGTTCATGGCATGGTAAGTTGGTAACAAGGATGTTCCAACATAAAACGCCTATTCATTTTCAGAGAGTACAACTCTCACTAACAAGATTATCGAAGAGGGACGTGCTGGATTCTCGGAAATGATCAATGATAATATGCAACAACGTTAAAAAACATATGACACTTAGATAATCCACTGTATGAAAACAAACGTAAAATTCAGAAAAGTACCTTCTGATAGGCACCCCCAGCTGGTGTTGTGCAAAGACAGGAGCGACGTCAACAAGGCAGAAGCGGTAGCACTGTGCAACGGGATCAACGACTGCGCACCGCCCAACTCCACCGGAAGCCTAAAATTGAAAAACACAAACTCTTTAAAGCCTCCCAACACACATGTTTTAGTACCCACAACAAATAACAAGTTCATGAATTGAAAACAAACGATGTTTTGCTCAAATCACATTAAATTCATCTGTTTTCCTAATAATGCTCAAAATTTCAGTAAAATGAAGAATAAAAATCACTAATCATACAACCAAAACTAAAAAAAAACCCGGATCCCCAAAAGACCCAAAATTCAGTTTTCCATTGCATTTTTTCAATCAATTGCTAACATACGTAAAAAATCAAAGTTCCAAAAATAAAAACCGAACCTTGAGAACTTGAGCTTCTGGGCAGCGAGTCGAGGAGCAGAAGCGGACTTGAGGGAAGTGAGTTCGGTTAGCTTGGAAGCTTTGGAGGCGAAAGGTGAAGACGGTGGACGGGAGAGTAGGGTTTTTGCAGAAGCTGAAGAGAATTGTAGGGTTCGCCTCGCGCAGTTAGCCGCCATGTCTGTTTCCCTCAACTCTTTTCCAAAGCTCGAAGCTTTGATCCTGGACCCAGAAGGAAGCAATCGATTTCGCAGACAAAGGATTGTTTGTGGGCTGAGTCTGACAACATCTCTGGACCAAATGCCTATTGGCCCAACACTTTAAAGGCTGAGTGGGTGAGCCCATGGGCCTTTATTGAGCTCGTCAACTTATACAATTGGCACAAAATTGGAACTTGAAAAATCCGATCACAATCTCAGTTGGGCCCTTCTTTTTTGGGTAGCAGTTAGGGTGTCAATTATTATTTTATTACATTAAATTATTTTAATAAATATTTAATTTTTTAAATAAAATGCGTTTAATAATCAATTAAAAGTTTTTTGAGGTTGCTCTCAATTTTGGCAGTAAGGGTGAGGGCTGCCAATCTATGTCATGTCATATCAGATTTGACTTTTCAGTTGGTAAACATTGCTACTACCTTTTTTTACGGTAGTACTGATTTGGACATTTTAACATTTTTCTTGGGATACTCTAATCGAAAATAGGGAAATAAAGAATGGATAACTTTGGAATGAAAAAAAGTGAGGAAAGGGAATTTGAATAACAACTCCCCTACTTAATTAACTTCCTTAAATTGAGTTATTCCATTATGAATTTTTAGATGATTTTATTACGGATTGCATGCAATTAAATGCAAGAGAAATCATAAATAGAATTCATTCCTTTTTTGTTTTGTTTTTATTACCGATAAGTAAATGAGTCCTAAGAAAATAATGAATGATGGAGATAAGAACATAGATATTGCAAAGCAAAAAGAAAATTTCTTTAATAGAAAACATAAATTAAAGTTATTTGTATGATGATGTCTGAGTTTTATATACGTAATAAAGACGGGGGAATAAAGAAGATATAATGATTAATAGGACAAATGCATGGAATTTTTTAAAATAATAACAACTAAATATTGGAACAATTTTCAGCTTTTTATTTTCTTTCAGCTTTTAAACATTGTATATAACTTTATATAGATCCTCATTTACTCATCTGCAAATTACAATGCCTCTTGGATAAGGACACCACGTTTTCATTTGCTTTTGCAAAAGAGAAGCTAATCCTAATTAGACATTTTATATTAGTAGTGTTAAGTATACATACAATCATAATTTGTTGACCATGTACCTTTTTACTTTTTTTTTTTAACAAACTATATTATCTACACTAGGAAGTGAAGAGTGAGTTAAGCCTCACAAGGACTAGTAATAATGTGGTTCAAATTCACTTTTGACGAAAATCGAATTTAAGATCTCTCACTTATTATTAGTGAAAAGAAATACTACTAGACCTAATACTAAATGGGCATTTTGACCTTTTGATTAACAATCCAACTAACATACTTTGAGATGGAAGACATACCATTTTACTGTTGTCTTTTGACTTTGAGCAAGTGAAACAGCTGCTACATAAATCTTTCTTTTTAAAGAGTAGGATATTGGTGCATAATGTATTTAAAAGAATAAAATTGTACTATTTTAGCATAAGAGCTTAAAGACATTTTGCCAATCCATCTATTGTAAATTGTATTTTACTATTTGGTAAAATTTCTCATTTTTTAAGCCTCCATAGAAAACTTAGAGCAAAAGTTGCGGTAGGGAAGAAGTAAGGAGAAACACTTCAACTCCTCCTCCTCCTCTCTGCTCCATTCCCTCTTTTTCATTTTTTTAATTTATTGTGGCCAATAATAGTCCTTTCTGTGGTGATTAAGTTTGTGTCTAAACTTGTTTAGATTTGAGTTATCCATCACTTATTTTTTTGTCCCTTTTCAATCCAATCATTCTCTCAAAATCCTCTTTCTTAGGTTTTTTTTTTTTTTTTTTTTTTTAGGAAAACTAACGAAAATTTCCAAAAAACTTTTTTTAAAGGTATAGTGAATAGTGCAAGTTAAAGGTAAAAATGTGGTTTTTCGTTAAAAGTGAACAAAACCGTGAGTATTTTGTTAAAACTCCCTCTTTTTTCTTCTTCTAGTAGTGTGGGTTTGGAAAGAGATGGGGCTGAATTTTCCTGAAATGGGGTTTGTATGTTATAGTGTTGCTTGTCTGATTTCATGTTTAAACTTTTCTCTATTATTGTGCGCGATTTGTTGTCTTTCCTGTTCATGATCCATCTATTAGGGCGCGGTGCCTTTGAGTGACACTAAGCTCAAGTTTATTCCTCTAAATTAAGTCCCTATACACTGAGTATAACATAGTGTTATTAGGTAGATTATAGAGCTCTCTATTCGAGCCAACGATGAGTCTTTGTATCGATAAAGTATATCGTGTCAAAACTAAATTGTTATCTATTGTTGAGTACGGTCGGCCTCTATTTCGCAATTAAAGTCCGGAGGAGTGGTTTAGCATATGAAGTACTAGAAAAGAGTAGCACTGCATGTATTTGCCGTGTATTTGTATATGAGTGAATTGTTGGAGAAGAGATCTCGCCCTCGGACGGCATTATGAAAAAGTTTATACGAATTTCCTATAATTATAGATCAAATAGCGGATATGACAAAGATTAATGTGTATAATGTTTAGGGCTGTATTTGAGGTTGCTTGCATATGATGTAATTAAATTTTCGCACTCAAGTCGGCCTCTTTATTATATATTTGATTTAAGACGGGCTCGGTATAGTATTCAATCGCACAAGCTGTATGTTCTCGTGTTATGTAGAAGTATTTTACTTTGTTATTCATAAAAGAAGAAAAATGCGTAGCTCAACCGACCATATAAACTATTCGTTCTATTATTGTCAACACTCAAAAACAACAAAACACACCTATAAAAAATTACATCACAATTTTAGATGAATAGCGTAGTACTTGACTTGGTATGCGCGAAGCGTGAGAGAGAGGGGCGTGGCGTGATAAAAAGAATAGGGTCGAATATGATGATGACTACAGGGATAGAAAGCTAGTACAGAAGGCTTAAAATGGAGAGGACTGATTTCGCATTCAAATTATTTCTTGAGCTAGTGGTTTAAAGCATGATTTACTTTTCTATAGTCATGTACGCCAAAACCTATTAATTATATTAATAAACCTTGAGTAAAATAGATCAAGACAACAAATTTGAATTCATAATTTGTAAAAATTGTGAATTACACTTATGCACAACTAAGTCTATGTTATACTCACTCAAGAGAGAGACATCATAACTCTCTATCAGTTTTATGAAGAGCTCTGCTCAATAACAATAGGAAACACCTATAGTAAATCTACTGGAGCTGGTTTCCGAAGTCATGCTAATGGTGCAGTGTAGTCGCATGAGTTGCGCATTTATCCTGAAATACGAGAGTTTCTGTAACGCAAAAGTTCTGCTGAGATGACCCATTACCACTCAGAAATACAAATCTCTCATTAGAAACCATAGAACGAACTTTCTGCAGCTTGTTCACAACACTTAAACCAACAACTTCTCTTCCGACACTCTAATCACAAATAGCGGACGACTATTCTGAGCCAGCAACCCTTAGCCCAAGCATATATAAAGAAACATCGAATATCGTATTAAATCTAACGTTCCAATTCGTCTGCGCTTGCGCTCCCTGGCTTCTTTTAGCAGAGTTTAACACAAGCCAAAAAAAAAATGACATATTTTCTGATATGTATTCTCTATAGTTGAGACAATATACAGACCTAGACAAGCTCAAAAAACAGACGAGCTTAGTAGAACATTGTCTATCCTCGCATTCATATTGAGATATAGAGTGATAAGGCACCATTACAAATTCTTCACATAACAATGTTATTACTCGAGGTGAAATGAAAAAGCGGGAGGAAAGATGAGGAAGATAATAGGGATTTTTTATATCATGAAAATCCTTGAATTATTCTATTAACATCACATAAATCTAAGGTATTGATCTCGAAGACAATAAACTTTCATATCTACATAATTACTCATTTATCCGAGCCACCATAAATAGACTCTCAAAGAACAACAAAATTAAGTTAAAGAATAATGTGCATTGCCTATTCACCATATGTATGTGCGACAACATTCTCAATAGAGTCTAAGTGCAGAAGAAGAGTTGCTACTGATGTGCGCGGCACGAAAAAAAAATTTGCCATGCAATGTGTGGTTATCTTCTATCTTGACAATGATATCATTGGACAATGTTGAGCAGAGACACTCTCTCTTTGTCCTCCCTAGACGACATGATATAGGGAGACGCGCTGCTTCATAAATTTGATCTACATATGAACTACACGCGAAATATTACAAGGCAAAAAATATTAAATAGTTAGCAACTTGGGTACTTGTGTATATATTCACATGAACTTGAGCATGCCTGTGTACGAGATGTCTCTCAACAAGTCTCTTATGTACAATATACACTTTAAGTAACACAAGCATTAGGCTCACGGTAGTTATTGGATATATTCTATCCTCCAAACGTACACTCCTTCTATAACTCTCCTTGGCTTTATATAGAGTGTGTAAAAACCCCAATCGAACATACGTTCATGCTCGCAACGAAAGAGCTCCTACTAATATTGTGTGTGCATGCAATTGAGTATAACTTGATATAAGCGAGATATGCCAGGTTAATTGATTCTGTCTGTTGGTCGTCTCTTCGTAAGTATAAAATTTCGGCGATCCAGTTGTGCAGAGTGTGAAAGTGAGACATAGACCCCCAAACCTACAATAGCCTGTTGAAAGCTTTCCTGCTCTTATTATAAATCTCCGTAAATAATAGATCGAAATCTCGCCGAAAAAGGATTCTTATCTTAATGTATGTGTTATATCTAATCTGACTCTCGGCATTTACAAATTCGTGCCATTGAACTTACATAAATCCCCATTGGTACTGCATAAAAAGACGCAATGAGATGCGCATTCATTAAAATCATTTTTGATACACATCATGGTGGTTATGAAACTGACAGTTTCAACTGGAAGAAGAGACATATTCAGTAACTCAATTTCTTCACACATTTCGTGTATCTCCTCTACCTCTAAAGTACATTCTTCCTCTAACTTTTGTTTACACTGGATGTGGTAGTTGGGTTTCTAGGGGCAAAGAAAAAAGCTACCTTTGA